TTTTCCAAGCGCAAACCGGCGGAACGAATCGCAGACACGGACTCGAGCTTCTTAATTTGTTGTTCGTTAGCTACACGCAGTACGACACCCGACTTTGCCGTTTTCTTGACCCCTACGATTTGAAAACCGTCGTCGCACGGTTTGATAGCTTTCATGAGCGCTTGCTTAGTCGCCGACGATGACGTAAAATCAGCTGAGCGCTCGGACGTGGGGTAGGCGACAACACACGGAAGCGGCGCGCGGGAGGATTCCATCGCGGGCACGACCTTGGGTAATCGAAGTTTTAAAGTTTCGGCGTAGGACACTTTATTGTCCTGGTTGTTTACTAGTTGGCTAGTTTTGACAAGGGAGGGTGTAGATTTTATTTTGTCCAACTCGCGTTCGGTGTTTGACAATTGTGTTTCTGTACAAGAAGATTTTACCGCTAGTATCGCGACAATACCGGTGACTCGCTGAGTCAGTTCCATAATAACGGATTTACCCGACGTGGTTAGGCGGGACTCAAGCACGACCTCATTTATTTTTGACAGCAATGTCGATGCCTCGGTCATTAAATCTACATACTCGGCACTAGATGCGGATGGGGATGCAATTGGCGAGCCACATTGCAAACGTTTAGACCTGTCTTCGTCAGGAGTCGCGTACGCAGGCGACATTTCACTAAATAGTCGCTTCGAGCTAGTCGAGGGTGGTGACCGCGGAGTTAACTGACTTTTGCGGAACCCACCGCGATCCGGTGGATCACTTCGCGATGCCATTGTTCAATGAATATAACTAGTACTTATCGTTAGACACTATCGAGCAACACGAAAATAAGTAAAACAAAAATAAAACGCGAACTCAATCCGCTACCCGCAATAAAAATAAATAAATTGACTTACCGAAAATATGATGAATATTACTTTACTAAGTGGATTAATCCCGTTAATTACTCACGTATACCACACTCAGACACAGGGCACACAACAAAAAAGCCACACGAACCGGAACAGATCACGTAAATATCAAAAAGAAAACAATAATAATATAACAGCGATAAGAACACCACTGCACCGTGCGCGCGCGCATGGGTTGCTTATCAGGTAGTCGTGATCGCAGAGTACAATGTATGCCTTTGAGAGACCAGGCAGCGCTCTCTAATAAACTGCGATAGTAAATTCTTCCCGCTATTGATTGCTATTGATGTGTAGATTACGTACCAGTCCGAGTTTCTGCGACAGCGTGTGGTTGAACTGGAGATGCAGCTCGGTCCTCAAGCTGGCCACGCTACCGCCGAGCCCGGCCAGCTCGTTGCAGATGTGTAACCGTGCTCCCTGCGTCGGGAACACTGCCTCGTCGCGCTGGTCCACGCTGATTATATGGCGGACCATCGACTTCAGTTGCGGACCTGGAGCAAGAGACTCCATCAGGACGTGATTGTGGTGGAAGATGAAGGCGACCACAATTTGTAATAGTAGCCAATGTACTCGCCGCTGCTCTCCCGGACCTTGAAGCTGGTTTTGTTGGAGACGAACATCTCTCGCATCACTCCCTCCCACTGCACGTGGTGCTTCGTCTGCAGGCAGTCAGGGAAAGCATTGATTTAAACAAAAAACTTTCAAACTTCAAAGCGAACTGTCTGTCAGTTGAATTTCATCGTTTCTAAGTCGTAAATTTGTAAGACATTATTACTTAGGATGCCATCATAATACCGTCGGCGAGGTCTGGAACGCCAGGTCGAGCAGCAGGCCGCGGTCCAGCAGCCGGTAGCCCGAGCTGACGTGCTCCGCCGCGCGCTGGTACAGCGACCCCGACACCCTGGACACGACACACGTCATAACTCCTCGCTTCACTAAGGTAACACATGTAGACATCACTGCTTATTTCTGTATTGCATCCGAAGGTGGCCAATTCGAGTGGCTAGAGCGTTTCGACATGTTAAAGTTAGTTCAAAATACGTCCGAAAAGCATCCAACATGGTGGCTAACTGGCGAATGTGTGATGGAGGTAATTCCTTGTTTACATTCGATTCAACTCAGGCAATGTGGGGTGGCCACCGAAGCCAGCCACGCTTCCAACGTCGCCAAGTGAGTTTAGATCCTGAACTGACAATACATTTCAATGTTAACTGTTTCGATAGGTATCTACTAAGCTGGCGGTGGTGTCCATGGTGCCTTACTGCCGCAGCAGGGCGGTTAGTACCTACTGGCACTGTGGCAGTTAGGTAACAGTGGGGGTGTCACTAACACGGGCTCGTACGTCCGCAGCAGCAGCGGCTTCGTGAACCCGAGGTGCATGTTGGTAGACCGCAGGTGTCCGAGACTGTACCCCGCCGCCGCGCGCTCCCCGCGCCCCAGCAGGTTCGGTAGCTTCACGCCTGGACAATAATAACTACTCACTGGGGTATAATATAAATGTTTTGTATCACTTGCTGAATGTGTGGCCGGCCTTTAACTGATCAATTTCTCTCTTGAAATACTTGCACAGCGACGTCATTATTGTATATTTGTAACTGTCACTACTGTCAGCTATCCTCCATGTTTTGTCTCCTGGACTGTCTAATTATCACCAAACTAGAAGTATTGTAATTCCACTAGTTCGAAGTACTTCGTTCGATTGGCCGCGTGTGCTGTAAATGGTGAACCCCGTGGTTCCATCCGAACATTGTGTTGTATAAATGTATCAGTAGCGGTGTGATGTGTTTGCGGTACTGTTACAAAGTGCCAGCGAGTCATTAGTGGTGGTGCAGTGTACGTGGGGTGGTGGCTGTAGTTACCGAGCACGACGCTGCCCTCGTCCTCGCTGACGTCGGTGGCGACGGCCGCGGCCACGCGCGACAGCTCCCGCACCTGGAACGTCACCTGCACACACCGCACCGAGCAACGTTACCGCGTACACAACTACATTACGAACACTTTCACAATCTTAGTATTTACTTTATTGAGATGTGACAGGGCGCGACCTAAAGCCTATTCACTGCTTGAAGCTCCGTTTGAAGATTGGAGGACGTGGACAGATGAACACCTCAGAGCGTACTTACAGATCGGATTAGTATCTACTTATTATTCATCGTGTGTGTGTGTGTGTGTGTGTGTGTGTGTGTGTGTGTGCGTGTGCGTGTGTGTGCGTACCTCGAGACCATCCGGTGTGGCCTCAGGTCCGGACGAGACGTCGATGTACACGCACACGTCGCGGAAGCAGCCCAAGTTGTCCAGCGCCTGCCGCACCTGCAACCATACACCAACAGTCACCGGTCGCCAGCAGATGGCGCGGTGTGCTGGCCGCGTCAGTCCGTGGTCACCTTGTGTGCGCGCACGATGACGTCCTCGAAGTCCTTAGCATTGAAGAGGTCGTCCACGGTGCCCCTGATGACGTCATCCTTCGTGCGGTTCAGTCCATCCACGTTGACGCGGTCCACGCGAGCCTGCACACATACATACATACCATGTACCTGTATTTTAGTTTGTTCAATGTCTTGCGTCGTTCATTAGTGGTAAGTAAGGGTGCTCACCCGGACCCCGCTGAGCTCGATGGGGGCGCGCGGCACTGGCAACTCGTCCAGGTCTGGCTCGTCGTAGTCGAACAGTCCCGCCTCGTCTTCCGCGAAGTTGTACTTGCGCTCCACCTACACACACACACACACACTCTTGCAAAACCCAGGAACAGAGGAAGCACAGTGTTGTAGCCAGGTCCTCAAGCCAGAATGTGTATAATGTTCGCTTACCTTCGCGTGTACGATCCCCATGGCGGCGGCTGCGGGCGCTCTCCTACTGATGTGATGCCATTTGTGGTAAACGTAACAAAATGCTGTTCTCTATCAAAATACCGTAATGGAGTAAACGACGTACAAAACTAGTCTCGGCGGCGCAGCAGCACTCTGTAGCGCGCGAGTGACACACTGACACATGCCACTGATACCACGTCATGCATTGAACAAAGAGTTCGTACGAACTGTATCAAACAGTCCGCAAAGCATTGGATATTGTACGTCACGTACGCACAACGCAAGGCAAGATATACACAATAGCTCTAAATCTAACTCCGAATAATATAATAGTAAATGTGGGAGAGTCATACTCCAGCACAGCTGGGCCGGCTCGGAAGAGTCCTACGGCCGAGCAGAAAACCATAGTGAAACAACACTTGCGTTGTTTTGTCGAGTGAGTGCGGATGAATTGAGCGAGAGCCGGCTTCGTCATACATATCGATAGCGGTAGTGTATGCAGCAATAAAACAATAAAATTTTCGTAATCAAAGGAATGTTTATTTTCGTAAAGTGCACCTTTACTTGATCGCATAATTAAATACTTTTAATTAAGTTAACATTTCCTACAGACTACTCTGAGAAGTAATGCCGAAACAAACTCAGGGGTCTCAATCACTTTCAAAGTTCAAACATGGTTAATAAAGTACATCAAAGTTTAGTCCACTCATTGTAATAATATTATGTTATAATCGTAAACTCGATAATTTTAGAACACTGATTCTAATGATTGCAATCACTAATCGACCGACAGTATTCTTAGCAAGTAGTTGTTCGCTCGGAGTCCAAGCCAAGAGTGAGTGCTGTGGTGCACGCCAGATTGTACGTCACTCGATCTCTCCCACTCATTGGCTTGACGTCATACCTCTACTCGAAGCTCTCGTGAGTGAATGCCATCGCCGGCGAGAGGGCAGGCGTCGTGCGCAGCGCTGGCTATACCGCAACACAAATCTGCTGCATTTATGGGTCACTTCAGGTATGCGGCGTCGAAGTGCTGGAAAAATATCCCTCCGCCAATCAGAAACCTGCTGTAATGTGGCGGGAACGGAGCGATAAATGAATAGGCGTGTAGTCAGCTCAAGAGTCATTTATTGACTGTCTTACAATACACTGATACTTAATAACTAACACCACTACACTGCAAAGTATAAGTACTTCCAGAAGAAAGCTCAACGAGTTTGTGCTTCCTTTCCAAATCAACAGCGCTGTAATAAATGCGGACCTATCTTTTATTTAATTTGTTTAGTTCTTGTATTTGAAGGAACGTCAGGGTTGTCCGAGACATCTTTTGAATCCATGGTTAATATTATTCGGGAGTGTGTAGTTGGGCGAGAAGAATGAAATGACACTTCAGTAGTAATCACGCGATATTATTATATTCGGTATCTTAAATATTCTCACAAAAGTACACTTACAACGAATCACTTTAACACTCCACCGAAAACGTAACGCTAAATAGGTGCTAACGGGTCGACTCCTCGACTCGAACTGCCGTCGCTCGTCGCACCTTCCGCACCCCCGCGCCAGCTCTCGGTGTTGCGTCAGAGCGAGTGGTAACCGACTTTCCGTTAGATGGCGTTAGCGACACTTTCGGTTGATATTCACTCAATGATAATCTTAAAATTGTAAACGCGCCGGTATATTAATTATTACAACTGTCACTGATTTAACAATTAAAATATCTGAGTCACACATTGACATGAACTATTTATTTATACTCCACATTTTTTTTTGTATAATATAATTAATAATAATTACTATATTATTTAACTCGTCGAGCACCGTCATTATAGACACAATTATAGAACAATAGGTTGCGGTTACCGGCGACCTGGTAAGTTAAGGTACTGACAGACGTGCTCATTACTAGCACGAAAGCCTGCTTTTATTGAGCAGGTGCTCATTAGTAGCACGTGTGTAACGGAATTGGCATGCTTTTTTTTTTTGATGGGACACGTCCGCCACAACCTCCCAAAACCACTGCAACTCCTGTAAGCCAGGATCTACAGTAGATACAACCATGAAAACACCAGAACACTGAAGTCCGGCGCGTCTCAGGGACCTACTATTACCTACTTATACTATATACCTACTATATCTTGTCTCTGACTGATTAGACTCGGCAGTGTGGCCTGCAGCAGCCTTTGGTCGATTTTCATCTCCAGGGATATCCGCGCTCGCTCATGTTGCTGACACTCCACCAGTAGATGAGGGAGCGACTCTGTGACCCGGTCATCGCAGACGCACGATGGGCTCTCTTTATACTTGAAGCGCGCTAGGTATTCCGAGAACTTTGTACCAATATACGTACTTAACGCCAATATATTCTGCCCTTCAGTGGTTCCGCCGGGTCGAGGTCCGGTGTTCTCCGTCATCGTAGTGCCATTTTCACGCAAACGCTCCGCCATGTGTAACATGACTATTTGAGTCGTTTGCGTGGCCTGCCAGGACTTCTAACGAGATGGTCTGAGCTACCGGATCCTATGCTCACCGAGTGAAGAGCATCGTCTGCGTTCCCCTTTAATATGTCTGCGATCACGTCTTTGATTGCCCGTTGTTTTTTGTAGGTGCCCATCAGCTGCGACGACTCCGCTCCACGGTACCACGTTTTCTGTGCACAATAGGCGTGTCGACAGGGTAAAAAAATCAAAAAAGTAATTAGTCCGTCATTAAGATCGCACGAAAATATCAGACACGTATTTTTTGTTTTATCAAATTAACAGAAGAATACGTAGTTATTCCGCATTAAAGTTAGGGAGTGGGGGGTGTTGACGTCACACTTACGGAGAAATCGTACCTAATTGTGACGTCACGCGTCATGTTAACTCAAAATATCTGCATGTTTTTTACATGTTTTTTTGGATACGAGAAAAAAGAAAAAATACGTATCGAAGATTTTTAAAATATCTAAAAGACGGACAAAAAATTAAAAAATAGTCGCCACGCCTATTAGCGGTAACCTCCAGAATGGACAACTTGCGGTATTCGGAACAGCGCGGCAAGTTAGTTGGCCTATCTTCAAATTTGTACCTCTTCTCATGAGGATGCACACAATTTGTTCCCCTCGGCTTTAAACCGCGGTGATCCGAGCCACAATCCCCTATATTATGTGACACGTTTTCCGCTATGTGGTTTCTCGTCTTAACCGTACTAGCATCCGCGACGAGCGCAGCGTCAACACCGCCTTTGGACACACATAGTTGTGCTCTGCTCTCCTTATAGGGGAAACTTGCCAATTGTGTGTCGGTGTCTGATCCAATTGTGCCTGCCTGTGGGACGCCAAACACCACCTTAGCAATAACTAACGGCCGCTCGGGCCAAGGCGTCCCACTTTCTACGGACAGGGCAGTCCTGGGCGAATATAGAGTGACCCGTGTTGGTTTCGCCATTTCTATTGCAGTTTATGCAGGTAAGACCACCCCCTTCGGCGGATCTAGGGCAATCCGCCTGGAGGTGCGGTCCCCCGCAATGGTTGCACAGGTCCACCAGCTCTGTGCAACTTTTCCGCCCATGTCCGTAGGCCAGACACCGACTGCACTGGACCAGCGGAGACTGGTCAAACACTTTCACGTGCTGCAGGTCGATGTATAATCTGCCAGCCGAGGTCAGCCTCTCCCACAGCCGTGGCGAGACCTGGAGGACTACGTGGTTTTCAAGAGAGTTCCGCGCCTTCCTCCGGTACTTTATTGTCACGGCCGACTCCTCGGCCGATAGACCCTCCAGCAGGTGCGCGTTCTGCGTCTTAAGAGCGGCCTTTATGTATTCGTCGGTGTTGTAGGCCAGAAGGTCCCGGACAATTACGAGCGGATTCCGCTGACGCGCGTTTTCCACCCGCAACTGCCCGTCAGTGCTGAGCTGCGCCGTCATCCTTTCCAGTTCTTCCTAGCTGGCGCAGCTCAGCACCACCCTCTGGTCCTTGACTTTTCGGACTATTTCCACCTGAAGGCGGCTCACCTTCGCATTCAGCTGGTCTCCATTGCGTCGCCGGAGGACACAACGACAGAGTGCTTCGGTCTTGCAACCCGCCCTACACTCTTCGGTTTCGACAGGACCTCCGCATAGGAGGGCGCTTCTGCCCTCATCTCGGAGACCTGTCTTCCGATCTCCCGAGTTGCAGACTTGAGCTCTTGCATATCTGCAAGAAGCTCTACGCCCTTGCCGCTGTGGCCTTCGGCGACAGAAGCAGCATCCATAATCTGCCGATCAATGAGAGCTGCCCTCAAATCCCCCATTTGCACGGTGGCCGCTTCAAGAAGCTTACTGTGCTCCGCTATTTTCAAAATGAGGTCGTCCTCCTTTCTGCCCATTTTTTCCGGCACAGGGGCCGTCGTCATTGAGTCCGGAACCGCAAACCCTACGACCCCAGGGAGCCTCTGGTGTTCGGACTCCTTCACCAGCTGGTAGAGGCGCTCAATGGCTAGTATCGCCTGAGTCTTGATTTCCGTCTTCAGGTTTCTCGCAAGACCCAGTTGACACTTTGCCTGTTTTAGCCAGTGTCGCGCCTCCACCGTCCGGTTCTCGAATCTAGGAGCTGGCTGAGGGGATTTCGGAGAGGGTGCGAGCCCGGGGGACCCATTTTCCAGCGGTTTGTTCATGTCGTGCCGGACACAATTTGCTAGGGCCGCACTGCGCTGCTTCTTTGGCTGCTTCTCAATGTCGGGAAAC